TTGACACCCCTGTTGTAAGACAAGAAATATCTGCAATTCTTCTTCTCCTTATTACTCTGGGATGGTTCAGTAATGGTGGAGAAATAGCACTGAGGAAACCTTAGAGGATGGGAGGGGGGAGAATTTTTTCAGAGCTGCCTCTTGCCTTTTAAGTTTGCAGCATGACTTTCTTTCTTTCTTTCTTTCTTTCTTTCTTTCTTTCTTTCTTTCTTTCTTTTCTTTTCTTTCTTTTCTTTTCTTTTCTTTTCTTTTCTTTTCTTTTTCCTGGCTTCCTTCTCTTTGTCCTGTTGCCTGGGATTTACTGCCTTGCCTTCTGCACGAGGAGGCAGCTGCTATGCAGTGATACAGCAGGCAATCTGAGCAAGGCAGAGCTGCCTTCCTGTCTGTGGAGAATACTTTTAAAGCTTCTAGACAGAAGTCTATTGGACACGTCCAGGTTTCCAGCACAGTTCGGGGACCTGGTTAAGAAATGGTTTATTATGCCGAACGATCGCTTTATACGGCATAATGTTTTACTAAACGAGCTGCAGTATGTTGAATATTCACAGCTTCGGTGTTTCAAGTTATGGCCTTCTTTTTCAAAGGAAAGAAGTGCAGGTCAAAAGAAAAGGCTGGTTTTCTTTTTTTTTTTTAAAAAAAGGAAAAGTCAATGAAGATACAATCTGTTGCCATAGAAAATAACAAGTCTCATTGCTCTGGTTTTTTGTTTTTTGTTTAAATTTTATTCCCCAACAACTATTCAGACTGAAATTGTTGTTTAAGTTCAAGGAGTTTTGGCTTAGAAAACATGAATGAGCAGGTCAGGAAAACCAAAATGTGTTCCTTAAATTGTCTATGTCCCCAGTGGGGCAGGGAAATTTGGACTTCAACGTAAAAGGTCCTGAAAATAAAGGCATCCTTTTTTTCTCTTGAGAGTGGAAGAAAAGTTTTAAATAATAGATGAGAAAAGACGTTAACTTGAATGGGGCCAAGAATAAAATTATATCCGTATTGTCAGATGTAAATGCCTTATTCTCCAATGTGTAAATAGTGTACAGACAGGGTATCAGGGGTTAACTTATTCTTCACTTCTTAATGTATTCATAATTCACCACTCCCACATATAGCTCCACCCATTGTATATATAAGGAGCTACCTACACCATTTCCCTTGCTTCTATCTGTGAATATTCAGTGAATATAGAATGCCTAATGTAAATAAAGAATATATAGTTAAATCTTTAACTCTTGTTGATCTTATTGAGTCTGATCCTGAAAATATTGCAACAAACTGGTAGCAGAGGATGGTTAATTGACTCAATAAAAAAGCTTTAAGATGTCTAAGAAAGATAGGCCCAACACCAGGGCCTACAGCAAAGAAATGGAAACGGAACAAGAAATAATCAACGAATCCACCAATGCAATTTCGAGAGAATCCGAAGAATACACCACTAATAACAAAAGTATATTGTCTTCATTTGCAGAAGATAAATTTGTAATTAAGGTAGCTAACCAAGAAAAGGTTCAAGTATTAGGTAGAGGAAATGTAACCTTACCTGGTTTAGGAAAAATAGAGGGGGTATTACTAATACCTGAAATACCTCATAACATATTAAGTGCCATAAAACTAAGCAGAGATTCTGACATTAACATTGTCTTTTCAAAAGGAAAGGCAACTTTGGAAAAGAATAAAATAAATGTAGGCACTGTGGTGACTAAAGGAGGACTACCTACCTAATAACAAAAGAAAAATGGTTACATAACATTGATTCAAATATGGAAGATTGTATTGAGATAGATGATGAGAATGTTAGCAACAGTGACAATGATGAATGTAAAATATCTCATGATCACACAGATGCACACAACGATAAGAAGCCAAAGATAGGCAAACCAATTCATGATGAGTGTGCTCACATATTGCATAGGAAGTTAGGACATGCCAGTTTTCCTGTAGTGCAAAAAATGACTGAACACGCAGAAGGTGTCAAAATAAAAAATTGTGAAAATTATCTGGAATGCTCAGTATGTAAATCTACAAAACTAAAAACTAGTCCCAGGCCAAAAAAATCTACCAGATCAACTAACAAAATTTTTGATTTAGTACACATGGACTTAGTTGGTCCATTAACCCCATCAATCACTTATAGGAAACGTTACTTCCTGACAATAGTGGACGATTATAGCCGCTATGGATTTGTTTACACATTAAAACACAAAGATGAAACATTTCAAAAATTTAAAGAATTTTACAAACGCATAGAAACACAACACAACATCAAAATAAAACAAATTATGACAGACAGAGGATGCGAATTCATGTCTAAAGAATTCTCACAATGGTTAAAAGACAAAGGAATGTTACATTACACATCTAGTCCATTTTCTCCGTTCCAAAACGGGATTGCAGAGAGAAAAAATTCCACATTACAAACCATGATTAGATGCACATTGGAAGATGCTGGCTTAAGCAAACAATTCTGGTCAGAAGCCTTACATTATTCAAATTACACACAAAATAGAACATGGTCCAGCATTATAAATAAGACACCATATGAAGTGATGTATAATAGAAAACCAAAATTAGCACACATGCATATATTTGGAGTCACAGCAGACGTACACATACCTAAACAATTAAGAAGAAAGGGAGAAAATGTGTCCAGAGACTCAGATTTATGGGATATGAGACTGGCACTAAAGGATACAGATTCATTGATAGTAACAACAAATTTATAGTCTCCAGAACAGCTGTGTTCCATGAACAAGCTAACTGGTCTAAATTACATCTTAATGAGATATTCCCAAATAAACATGAAGATACAAAATCTCATGAGAAAGGGACTATAGAAAAACAAAATATCAACAAATATAGAAACAAAACTAAAACTTGGACAAATAGCCAACTCAAAATAAAGACAGACACACTAACAAAAAAGGAAGCAAGATATTTGCATGATAACGATAGTAAACCCGAGAAAATCATTAGAAACACCAGAAATCAAATGCCAAATAAATACAAGGATTATGTAATGCACATGAATGGTGAACCAACAACACCCAATACATACGAGGAAGTGTTAAAACTTCCTCACGAAGAAAAAGAAAAATGGGAATTAGCAATGAAGAAAGAGATGGAAAGTTTACAAGGACTAAATGTATTTACACCTGCATCTGCACCTAAAGATAAGACAATTATTGGTACCAGATGGATATATAAAATTAAGAATTTAGAGGGAGGAAATACTCTATACAAAGCTAGATTGGTTGCACAGGGTTATGCACAGAAATATCCAGAGGACTATACTGACACGTATTCCCCCACTGTAAGAACAGAGAGTGTCAAAACAGCTCTAGTGGTAGCTTCAGCACTCAATCTAGATGTATTCCAATATGACATACAGACTGCGTACCTACACGCAAAATTAGATAAAGAAATATACGTGAGAGCACCTCATAGTCCATACACAAACAAAAATGAGACTTGGTTGTTAAACAAGAGTTTATACGGGCTAAAACAATCTGGTAAACGGTGGTATGATTGTTTAGTAAAAGTACTTAAGACCATGGACTTCAACGCTACCACTGCTGATAATTGTTTCTTTGTCAAGAGGGGTGATGATTACATTGAATTTGTATTGATTTATGTGGATGACATTTTATACATAGGAAAACATAAAGAAAGAAGAGAAACTTTTGTAACTAAACTAAATGAACATTTCTCATTGAAATCTTTAGGCAAGGTAAACAAATACCTTGGTGTCCAAATTAATAAGACAAAAAGGGGATTCAAACTTACCCAGAGAGACAAGATCATAGATCTTTTAAATAAATGCAACTTAAACAATGCCAAACCTTGTGATACCCCTATGCAAACTGACTTTCTAAGGAATTCTGATGAATCTTCTCCCGAGTTCAAGGACAATACATTCTATAGATCAATCATAGGTTCACTCCCTTTACATATCTAATTGGACTAGACCGGACATCGCTTTACCACTCAATTTATTATCTAGGCATGTCAGCAAACCAACAATGTACCACTGGGAAGCTGTTAAAAGAATTTTAAGATATTTAAAAGGTACACTAGACTTTTGTTTAATGTTAGAACCTAATGATATTAAAGAACCAAAGCTTACGTGTTATGCAGATGCAGATTGGGCTGGAGACACCTCATGCAGAAAAAGCACATCTGGTTATGTATTTCTCTTAAATGACTGTCCAGTTTACTGGTACACTGGTAAACAAGAACTAGTGGCTACTTCAACAACAGAAGCGGAATATGTTTGTTTATCCAAGGCCGCAAATAATCTTGTATGGTTTAATGATTTAATTTCAGATGTCTGGAAAAAACCTGCTCTGCCTTTTGTTATGCATGAAGACAATAAAGCAGCCATTGAAATATCTAGATCTGATGCCATTGGACAAAGGTCCAGACATATAGATATAAAATTTAAACATGTGAGACAATTATCTCAGGATGGATTTATTAAAGCAGTGCATTGCGACACTTCAGAACAATTAGCTGATATATTAACGAAGCCTTTACCTTCTAAAACAGCATAAATACTTAACCTCTAAGTTGTATGTTTTGTATTGTCCTGAATCTGAATGTAACTGGTGTTGTATAACGAATCGGCATTTAGAGGGGGATTTGTCAGATGTAAATGCCTTATTCTCCAATGTGTAAATAGTGTACAGACAGGGTATCAGGGTTAACTTATTCTTCACTTCTTAATGTATTCATAATTCACCACTCCCACATATAGCTCCACCCATTGTATATATAAGGAGCTACCTACACCATTTCCCTTGCTTCTATCTGTGAATATTCAGTGAATATAGAATGCCTAATGTAAATAAAGAATATATAGTTAAATCTTTAACTCTTGTTGATCTTATTGAGTCTGATCCTGAAAATATTGCAACACGTATAATTGAAATTAAATTAAATAGACACAATTGTTATGATAATTCCATGATATTAACACACTATTTTCTCTTTTGGTTCCATGGACAAAGAGGAATGGATTCTGGGGCTATATCCAAGATTTGGTAAGAGAAGGAGGAGAAATCCTGTCTGTAGCCTTCTTTCCCTTTCTCTCTTTCTCTTTCTCTCTCTCTCTCTCTCCTTCCTTCCGTCCTTTCCTTCCTTCCCTCCCCCCCTCCCTCCTTCCTTCCCTCTCTCCCTCCTCCCTCCTTCCTTCTCTCTCCCTCCTTCCTTCCTTCCCTCCCTCTTTTCTTCACTTTCCCTCTTCCTTTTCCTTCCTTCCTTCCCTCCCTCCTTCCCTCTCTCCCTCTCCCTCTTCCTTTTCCTTCCTTCCTTCCTTCCCTCCTTCCTTCTTCCCCTCCTTCCCTCCCTCCTTCCTTCCCTCTCCCTCTCTCCCTCTTCCTTTTCCTTCCTTCCTTCCCTCCCTCCCTCTTTCCTTCCCTTTCCCTCTTCCTTTTCCTTCCTTCCTTCCTTTCTTCCCTCCCTCCTTCCTTCTTTCCCTCCTTCCCTCCCTCCCTCCTTCCTTCCCTCTCCCTCTCTCCCTCTTCCTTTTCCTTCCTTCCTTCCCTCCCTCCCTCTTCCTTTTCCTTCCCTCCCTCCCTCCTTCCTTCCCCCTTCCTCCTTCCCTTCCTCCCTTTTTCCCTGAAGCACATTTTTCCTTCAGAAACAGAGGTGCAGGGAGTAGTAGAGAATTAGAGTGATCATACTTGTATAATATATTACTGAATATATTGTATAATATATTATTGAATAATATATTATTCAAATCTGTCATTGTAGGCATGTGTCTTGATGTTTTGCATTCACTTATCTTCACAAGCTTCAGTAAAGAATGTAGCCACAAGCTGAGATTTCTTTGAAAAGATCCAAGGATGTTTTTCACACTTGAAATGTGGCTTGAGAGAAGTCTTGTAGAACTCTTAGTCGATTTCCTTCCAAATATAAATAGTATCGCAATCCCATTCAGATTAATTTTGAAATAAATCGAATTGTGTGACACTTTAGTGTCTGTAGCTCTAGAACTGTAGCTCTAGTGTTGTTCAATTCTCCTTCAATTCAAGTTGAACATAAGCCTATTTCTATGTAGTTTCCTTGACAAAAATGTGAGAGGACAGGTCGTGAAGAGGAAGTGTAGCGTCCCAGTCAATCCTGCAGACCCTTCTCAAGCATTGCTTATGTGCTATGTCCTACTAGATACTACTTCAGTGGGAAGGTAACAATGTCCCACACTCCTTGGTGTATAGTCATGCTAGTCACAGGACCACAGAAGTGTCTTCGGACCACACTGGCTCCCTCAGCTAAGAAACGGAGATGGCTACCTCCCTCTAGAATTGGATACAACTCCACAGGAGAAACCGTTACTTTTATCTTTATTTTATGTACAAGAGAAGATTATGATTAACCGGACTCACTTTCTCATTCCTAAGAATGGTGAATTGGGGTTAATTCTTGGATGATGATGTAGTTCATTAGAGAGCAAATTCAATATTAAATATTTTTTTGGCATCTATAGTATACCAAATAAGGGTAAGTGCAGATTTATCTGCTATAGGAAAAGTAAAAATTAATTACTTTAATTATAAAGGATAAAGAAGAAACAGAACATTTTTTAACATGGGATATGTTCTATCAATGGTTGGATAAAAGAGATAGAAATTAAAAGATGAAAGATTAATAATATAATATATAAGAAAAGGATGTAAGAAATTGTATTATACATAAGCAAACATTAGCATTATTACTAGTGTTGTTATTATATATTGTATACTTTATTCATTAAACATGAAACTCAGTCAACGGAACATTCAAAAGTGCATTATTATTATTATTATTATTATTATTATTATTATTATTAGTTAATCTTTAGTGAGATTCACAGCCTTTGAGGCTGGTTAATAGCTCAGCAGCTCGAGTCCTAACCAAGGACCTAGGAACTGTTAAGGTATCATCGGAGGATGTAACCTGCTCCAAGTAAGGTGGTTTTTTGTAGAGTTAAAATGTTCAAGTCCGGCAAATTTAGAATTTCTAAATAGCGGGGTAGCCCTTTGGATATTACTCCAAGGGCTCCAATTACAATGGGGACAACACACAATTTCTTATTTTATTTATTTATTTATTTTTTATTATTATTATTTTATTATTATTATTATTATTATTATTATTATTATTATTATTATTATTTACTTTATTCATTAAACATGAAACTCAGTCAACTGAACATTCAAAAATGCATCACAAATACCATTGACTGGCGCTAATGGTTGATACAAGTTGCTGCCAGCGTCCTAGGTATCAACCAAGTACCTTCTTAAGATGTACGATGTTCCAAGTAGCGCAGTTTTTTTGCAGTTCCACTGGTGTGAAGCTGCAATTTGTTGATGTATCTTATAAAATTCTTGGACATGGTACCAAGTGCCCCGATGACAATGGGTATCACGGTTACATGTTTCATCCATAGCCATGTAGTTTCGATGGACAGGTTGCGATATTTCGTGATTTTTTTCCAGTTCTTTTTCTTCAACTCTGGCATCTCCTCCTCCTCCTCCTCCTCCTCCTCCTCCTCCTCCTCCTCCTCCTCCTCCTCCTCCTCCTCCTCCTCCTCCTCATTATTATTATTTTTGTTGTTGTTATTATTATTATTATTATTATTACCAGTATTATCATTATTACATAATATAATAAAGTAATACAGTAAATGATGTAAGAATCTTATTACAAATAAGTAACTATTAGTATTTTAATTATGGTTGTTATTATTAATGTTACTTGCATTACTAGTTTATTAATACTTTGTATAAACAAATAGACCCAGACAGCATTTATGTATTTTAAAGAAGGGAAAAAATGTATACTGTAAATAAACAATCTTTTTTTAAAAAAAGTAAAAAAATGTCACCTGCTTCCTGTGGGATGCGATGCACTTAATTTGGTAACAGGAATACCTGGGTTTATTTTTAGAGCTGATTTCCCAGGTAATTTTTGGAAAAAAAAAACCTTTCATTTGTATGATTGTGCAGGCTTGCAACCAGCAAGGGCATCGATTTTGTATTCCAAAACCGTTACCGCACGTTAACTTTTCATTAATATGCACAGGTGCTGTCCTCTTCTCTGTTGTTTTCTAATGCAATTCCATTTATATAGAGTGGTACTGCTTGGAGGCTATAAGGGAGTCTGTTTCCAGCTAGGAGGATGCTGAAGTGAAGCCAACGAGTTATTGCAGAAGTAATCAGACAGCTTACAGGACTTCAGGATCAGATGTCCTACTCTATATTAGCCCAGCTCTTGAGACCCATCTCAAATGTCTCCCTGAGATTTCCAATTGGAGAGATGCCTCTTCTTGCTAGCTGACAGCTCTTTGCTGCAGCTTCTACATGTGGCATAATATTCCCTGGCTTGTGAAGAAAGATTAAGGTAGAAAACAAGGCACGGTGTTTCTTCCTTCTACCTTTGCTCTTTTCCCGCAGTGGAGTGATTTCGAGTCAGTTTAACTCAGGCTTCGGGGGGATGAATCTTCCTCGCTTTTTAGAAGCTTTCAGCCATTAATGTCATACTAGATGAATGCCACAGGGCAGGTGCAGAGCTCCACAGCCTGGAGAACCACGAGAATCGTGGTTTTATAGAGTATGTGCCTTTTTGAACAAAAATTCGGAAAGGATTTGTTCCGTTCCTTCCTTCACCACCAACACCAACAGTAATCAAACTGTACCATTAGCATCAATGGTGGGATTCAGCCAGTTTGGGCGAACCGGTAGTTAAATTGCTGGCTGGCCCCGCTCCTTCCCTCCCTGCCCCGCCCCTTCCAGGAGTCTCTACATGCCCCATTTTGGTTCCCAGGTAAGAGCACGGAGGCCTCCTAGGCCCAAAACAGGGTGCAGGGGGGCAATGCCCCCCGTGGCCCGTTTTTGCTTCCCAGGAGGCTTTAGGGAGGCTTCCTGGGCCCGTTTTCACTTCCCAGGAGGCTTCAGGGGGTGACCTCCCTGTGGCCTATTTTTGCTCCCAGGGGGGTGCAGGAGGTGAGTGCTGCCTGTCACACTCCCTGGCCACGCCCACCATGGCTACGCCCACCCAGCCGGTCATTAGGGCAGAGAACCAGTTGTTAAATTATTTGAATCCCACCACTGACTAGCATCTTCTGTTTTCATGGTTGATATGGGAAAAAAATCATAAGATATAAAGATTTTTTGAATGAGAAAGGGGAATTGAAAAGCAAAGGAATTGAATAGTCAAGGGATAGATTTAGCACGGTGGCCGCATTGACTTTGCTTGTCAGAAGGTCGCAAAAGGGAATCACATGACCTTGGGACATGGCAACCGTCATAAAAATGAGTCAGTTGCCAAGCATCTAAATTTTGATCACATGACCATGGAGATGCTGCAATGGTATAAAAATAAGTATGAAAAATAAGTCACTTTTTTCAGAGTTGTCACTAAATGAACTGTTGTAAGACAAGGACTACCTACGTCACTTAATCTACACTATAATAATTGGGAAGTGAGATGTTCAGAAGGATAGGCTTCATAACCCATAATTTATATTGCTTGGTAGACTTCAAGAATTAATATCCAATGAAATACTTACTAGAGGATACTCACTTGAAGAAGGTTTTGTTATAATACCCAGCACCAGAAATAGCAGATCTAGAAAAGCTCACACAACAGTTTATCTTGGAGAGGAATGGAGAGTAAATAATTGGTGAGCTGAAGTTGGAAGAATAAGAGTACACTGTGAATTTACTCATTTGTTTTCATACCTCAGTAGTGAAACAGAAGAACATGGTTCAAAGCTGTCTGGCTGCAACATTCTGGTTTTCACAGAGGCCAACTAGATGCTTCTCTTGGTACTCACAAGAAAAAGGTGGAAATCCATCTTTCTATATGTTGCTATTCATGCTTCCTTCAACCTGGAGATAATATCAAATCTTTAAACAACAATAACAACAAACCCCAATCTTATCGGCCATGATAGACTTACCCTCCCTGAGTTTTTCCAGTTAAGTCTAATCAAGTTACTGGCCATCAATGTGTCTTGTGCACACACACACACACACACACACACACACATACATATGCAATATGTATGTGTATATATCAGGGGTGAAATCCAGCAGGTTCTGACAGGTTTCTGGAGAACCGGTAGCGGAAATTTCGAGTAATTCAGAGAACCGGCAATTACCACCTCTGGCTGGCCCCAGAGTGGGGTGGGAATGGAGATTTTGCAATATCCTTCCCCCAGGAGTGGGGAGGGAATGGGGATTTTGAAGTATCCTTCCCCTGGAGTGGGGTAGGAATGGAGATTTTGCAGTATCCTTTGTTTGATTTAGCACGGTGGCCGCATCATGTACAAATATAATCAAGATATGAAAAAGATGCTAAAACACATGTTTTTATAAAGAACTAACAGAATTGGACCAGATCCTAACAGGAACTGATGAGAAACTAATTTTAAAAAATCTATAAGTATCTACTCTGAGTATTAGAATGGAAGAAGAGCAAGTAAAAGAAACAATGATAGCATAGGCTAAAAACGTTGATTATTCTATAGAATTGGATAAATGGCAAAAGTTGTGGGATAGAAACTATAAACTAACAATGTCTACGGCATACAAAGAAAACTTATATACAGTAAAATGTTTTACAGATGGCACTTCCCACCAGCAAGACTAACTAAGATGTTTAAAGATATGTCTGCTAAGTGAAAAACGAAAGGAAAGAAAGAAAGAAAACTCAGTAATATTGAGAGAAACTGAGACATAATAAGTTTATTTCTGGAGAGAAAGGATGGATTTATCCTTCACGCTAAGCCAAGCTTTAAAGGGATTGGGTTTGTTTACAGGTTCCATGAATGTCGTGTGATTTACAAGCCACTCTTAATAGCTGAGCTGATTGTGTAAAATGTGAACTTCACAGGAAAAACAGATTAAAACAAAGAAATGATATCCTGATCATTTCTTTACTTTCTTAGTTTGGTCATTTTAGAAAGTTTAAAAGCCATCTTTTTAGTATATCTAAATATAGGTAGTCCTTGTGACCAACAACCACAATTTGTGTTGCTAAGCAAAACAATTGTTAAGTGAGTTTTGCACCATTTTACGACCTTTCTTGCCAGAGCTGTTAAGGAAATCACTACAATTGTTAAGTTAGTAACCGGGTTGTTAAGTGAATCTGGCTTCCCCCATTGACTTTGCTTGTCAGAAGGTCGCAAAATAAATGTATGTATGTATGTATGTATGTATGTATGTATGTATGTATGTATGTATCTATGTATGTATGTTTGTATGTATTTATCAAATTTCTATACCGCCCTATTCCTGGAGGACTCAGGGGGTGAACAGCCAAGATAAAATACAGATAATACAAACATTAAAAGTCCATTAAAATTATTAAATATTTTGGCCAAAAACAAATTTAAAACACCCAATTTATAAAACAGATTAAACGATTTAAAAATTTAAAAGGAGAGAGTTAGGCCAGGCCAGCCTGCTGAAATAAAAATGTTTTGAGAGCACAACGAAACGTGCGCAGATCCGGGATCCTCCGTATCTCCGGGGGGAGCTCGTTCCAGATGGTAGGTGCCCCCACAGAGAAGGCTCTCCCCCTGGGGGCTGCCAGTCGACACTGTTTGGCTGACGGCACCCTGAGAAGCCCCTCTTTATGGGAGCGTACTGGTCGGTGAGAGGCTATTGATAGCAGAAGGCGGTCTCGTATCCCATGACCATGGACACTTCATCCATCATAAATACGAACCAGTTGCCAGGCATCCAAATTTTGATCACATGACCATGGGGATGCTGCAATGGTCATAAGTGTGAAAAACAGTTATAAGTCACTTTTTCCCATGCTGTTGTAACTTCAAACGGTCACTAAAGAAATGGTCGCTAAGTCGAGGACTAACCGGACTCTTCAAATTTATTTCCCATTTAACAGGAGGCCATTTTGAATTCCATCCCCGCTTTCTATGTACAGTTTAGATATTCTGGATTACTGATTCTTCTCACAACTTTCTCCCACCCTATTAAATGAATCTGGATCAATTGATTTAAGAATTAGTGCCATGAAGTCGACAGTTTCAGATTTTGCCATAAAATTTGAAACTGGCTGTATCTGGTTTTATGGTCCGTGTTTACCTATATGCATATGCATGGCTTAGAATGCATATGTTAAATTTTGGTTTTGTGGAGGGAATGAAATATGGACCTGAAGGCTGAATTTTGCAAAACATTGCCTAATGTTGTTGCCAACTGTTGAGAACAATGCACTAATTCACAGAATGTTTACCATCTTGAGGGGAAAAAAATTTAAAAAATGATGTTTTAATTTTTTCAAATTCCCCAAAGTCTGGGCCGAGAGTTAGTGATGCATTTTAATTATGACCAAGACAAATATCCTAAGTGTTCTATAAATTTCTTACTCAGCTACTCTTTGAAGGGAAGAAATTGTACTGGGGGAAAAGATCTTTCTAGCTTCAATGAACTGAAGCTAAACAACTTTCCTTTGTCAAAATGGAAAACTGTCCATTTCAATTATGCATCAAGTTAAACACTCATCTTGCGAGAAAGCTGAGATTCTCCCATTAATCCCATACCGCTTCACAGTGCTTTCCAGCCCTCTCTAAGCGGTTTACAGAGCCAACCTATTTCCCCCAACAATCTGGGTCCTCATTTTACCCACCTCAGAAGGATGGAAGGCTGAGTCTGGTGAGATTTGAACTGCCAAATTGCAGGCAGCCGGCAGTCTGCAGAAGTAGCCTGCAATCAGGGGTGGGTTCTAAATTTTTTTACTACCGGTTCTGTGAGCATGGCTTTGTTATGTGGGCATGGCTTGATGTCATATGACAATTCTTTAGGATTTAGCAGAGGAACTGGTTTATTTATTTAGCGTATGGTTGGTCACACACAGTATTAAAACACTTCATTTTTACAGGTTAAAAACAATTAAAACAATAAAAAAGCAGTAAGAAAACCTAAAAGGAAAACAGAAATAACATTTCAAAGTTTAATGTCGAGTTTGGAGATCCAGTCAGTAGCTGCCGTTGTTATGCAGAGGAAGTCCCTAGAATCTCCTGGATACCTTCTGTTAGGGCATTCCCTCACTATATGCTGGATAGTCTGTCGAGGGGCCCCGCAATCACATTGTGCTGTACTGGTACTGGTCTACCAGGCTTTTAACTGCTTGCAGAGCTGTACTGTCTACTCATTTGTTTTTGGAGGCACTGGTCTACCCATTTATTTTTGCATGCAGCGATCTACTCATTTGTTTTTGAAGGCACCGGTCTACCACCACACTGCCTTTTAACACTGATCAGCTGTAGGGCGGCCCTTTGAAGCCCCACGGCAAGAGTTTAAACAGTTTTTTTTCCTTCTAGCCGATCAGCTGGGACTCAGGAGGCAGCAATAGTTTGGGGGTGGGGCCAAATAAAAGGTAAGACTAACGTGGGGGGTGTTGGGGGGGCTGAGGGCCCGATTCCCGAACAAAGAAAACCGGTTCGGTGATCAGGCCGAACTGGGAGGAACCCACCACTGCCTGCAATACTGCGCTCTAACCACTGTGCAGTTGTAACTTTGGTCACTAAACAATTCGTTGTAAGTCAAGGACTATCTGTAATTGAAAGGATCAGACAGCGAGTGGTGCAGGGGTGGGTTCTACTTACCTTTACTACTGGTTCGCAACGGGCTCGCTTTTCTCACTCGCGCACCTTGCTTCTATGCATGTGCAGAAGCTTCTGCGCATGCACAGATCACCGATGACGACATCCGGGGCGGTGGGCGGGAACTCCTGCCGGTTTTACTACCGGTTCTTGCGAACCGGTCCAAACCAGGGGCAACCCACCACTGGAGTGATGCAACCGACTATCAGAAATATTAGCTGGACCAGCGGTGGGATTCACTTACCTTCCCTACCGGTTCACAAATGTGAGAACTCACATGTGCCTCATCTGCGCATGCGCACGGCCTTCTGCGCATGCGCAGTGCTCGCACATTACATCTGGGTGGGTGGGCTGAGCCTCCTGCAGTCACCGCTACCAGTTCACCCAATCTGGAGAGAACCGGCTGAATCCCACCACTGAGCTGGACCAATAGTCTGATCTGATATAACTCAGCTGTTTACTGCTAATGAGTGATTTATTCAATCAGCAGTTATAGTACCTAGAGAAGGCCCCTAGCGTAATAGCTTCCTTGCCTCTCCCCACTGGCCCATGGAGGAGAACTACAATGCTGATCTGGCCCTCAAAGTAATCCAGTTTGACACCCCTGCTCTAGAGGGAACCTCTCTGTTTAGAAATAGTAAATAAATCTGCCATATGCTTGCCTTCCTTCCTTCCTTCCTTCCTTCCTTCCTTCCTTCCTTCCTTCCTTCCTTCCTTCCTTCCTTCTCCTCTACCGCCTTCTTTCCTTCCTTCTTCCCTCCCTCCCTCCTTCCTTCCTTCCTTTTTCCCTCCCTCCTTCCTTCCTTCCTTCTCCTCTCCCGCCTTTTTTCCTTCCTCCCTCCCTCCCTCCCTCCCTCCCTCCCTCCTTCCTTCCTTCCTTCCTTCCTTCCTTCCTTCCTTCCTTCCTTCCTTCCTTCCTTCCTTTTATAAATAACTCAAGGCAGTGAACATAGCTAATGCTCCTTCCTCCTTCTACTTCCCCCACAACAACAACCCTGTGGTGTAGGTTGGGCTGAGAAAGAGACTGACTGACCTAAGGTCACCCAGCCAACTAGAATTCACGGTCTCCTGTTTTCTAGCCTCGTGCCTTAACCTCTAAATCAAACTGCTTTGGGAAATCTGGGTGGGTAATCCATATTAAAAGCATTCTTTGAATATGATGTAATTATCCATGCAACTTCAAATACATTTTTTTTTACATTGGTCCCACCTATTTTGGGGGGAGGTGGGCATGATCCTGCTGCATTTGAAGTGGAGGGTCTCGGCTTGTTTTTCAAAGCTCCTCAGTTGTACAAGTGTGCTGTAATGGTAAAATCCAAGCAAAGTTGTGCATTTTAAGCCTGTGTGACTTATGGTGGGAAAATCAAGCATTTCCTGTCATTTCTTCTACTGAACTTGACAGGACTTCAAAGTTCATCGTTTTGGGGCCTAGCTAAATAAATACAGAACATTTCAGGAAAGTGAAGGTACTCTTTTGATCTACTGATCCCCTCCCCCTCCGTATCTAGAATTGCAATGCCTCTTGTTTCCATGTTGCACATGCTACGAGATCTGGCCGATATTATAATATGGTAATCTGATCCAAACCATTAGCAGTATATTAAAAGAAACGCAGCCATTTGAGTAGCCCAAAAGGGCTGCCAACGGAGATAAATATTATGCTATACTTCAAGCGGTGGAATAAACTCTGCCTGTCTAATGCCATTGTTAGCCAAATATGCCTTCTGGGGGGAAATATATATTTCTTTTGAAATATTGAAACTGGATATATTTTTCCTCTGAGAAAAGTTTCTGAAGGCGGTTAGGTAGGTGGTGTGATATTTAAGCAGAATTTACATAATGTTTATGCATCCTTGTGTTATGAGAGGCTGGGATAAATTTGGAAAGCACAGCTTGAGTAGTATATTTAATGTTTCTCTTTAAAGGCAAGGAGGATGCTCACTGCCCACCCATCACGGAGAGAAAATGTGAGAGAGGTCTGAGCTCCTTCGATTCAAGCACCAGAGTGACACACTCTTCTCATATATACTACAGGTAGTCCTCGACTTACGACCACAATAGAGCCC